TTCTTCAAGAGAGCGTTGTCGCCTTTCTTGAAGAACAAGACCACCGCACTTCTGCTCCACGCCTCCGGTGTAATGCCACCATGGAGGACGGAATTAAAGAGCTTCTGAAGGATTTCAAGTACCGGTCTTCCACCCGCTTTCAGAAGCTCCGCTGTAATTCCATCCTCGCCTGGGGCCTTGCCGTTTTTAAGGTGCTGGAGAGCCATTCTAATCTCGCTCAGACTGACGTCCGGGATATCATCGGAATAATGTCGGATAAGACTCGCTCTTGGATCGTTACTCACACTTGCGTGTGGCTCCAACGATGATGTGTACAGCTGCCCATAGAACCTCTCAATCTCACTCAAAATCTCAGGTGCCCCGGAAACGATGCTGCCACATTCGGTCTTCAGCTTTGACAGTTGGCTCTTTCTGGCAGACAGATCTCTGGCAAAGACTTTGGAGCCTTGGTTCTTCTCGATCGCTTCTTCAATACGAGCTGTATTGAAGTTGCGTAAGTCCCGCCGCATGCATTTGGAAATCTGTCTATTCAGTTGCCTGTATGCTGTCAAATCTGTTGAAGAATGTAGCTTCATCTCTCGTCTAACAGCCATGAGATTAAGAGTGTGATCGGAGAGTTTTTGTGTTCTTCTGCGGCGGGTCTTGCTGAACTTAGCTCCGACCGCATGGACAGTTTCCACGAGCTTGTCATTCAAATCGTCCACTTCATTGCAGTCTTCTAGGCACTGAAAACGGTTTTGCAACTCGAGCTGAAAGGTTTCGGGACTTTGGATTAGAGCACGAGGGGGATGGAGCGTTGACTTCATTAGACGAGACCTCTCCAACTTAACGTTTAGGTTCAGTGTGCCTCTAACCATTCGGTGATCGCTGCCGGTTTTCACCCTCGCGATCACTGAGACATCACTGAACAGTTGTCGTCTGGTCGTCATAATGAAGTCAATCTCATTTTTTGTCGAACCGTCGGGGCTCGACCAGGTCCACTTCCTGTGGGGCCGCTTCTGGAAGAAAGAGTTCATCACAAAGAGTCCCTCTTTCTCCATGAAGTCGGCCAACTGCTGGCCCCTTGGGTTCCGTTGCCCTATTCCAAATTTCCCCACTTTCAGCTCACCGTTCTCTCTTGTGCCTAGTTTTGCATTGAAGTCTCCCATTAACACCGTATATTGGGTTTTGGAGGAATGCATGGCTCTAGAGATATCCTCATACATTTCCTCCACCTCTTGATCAGGGTGTGCCGAGGTTGGTGCGTAAACCTGTATGACCTTCAGCGAATACCGTTTGGTGATTCTGAGTATAAGGTACGCAACCCTCGTCGACACACTCTCAATCTTTACAACGTTGTTAACGAGAGACTTGTGGATGATAAATCCGACACCTCCTTGGGACAGATGGTCGCCCTCCCGGTAATAGAGCAAGTTGCCGGATTCGAGGATTACCGTGTCCTCCCCCTCTCTTCAGACTTCGGATAATCCTATAATATGCCAGCGTAACTTGTCTATCTCTTCTTCCAGCTCCACAATCTTCTCGTCAGTCCTCAGGGTGCGTGCGTTGTATGTTGCCAGGTCGAGTCGTTGTAGGTGGCAACCGAACCTCCACCGGAGATTCTTAGCAAACACTAAAATTTAAATTTAGTATCATTATAATTTTAACAAAATTATAATGCCAAGTTCAGTTCAAAATTCATTTGCAGGCTTTTAAATAGTGGTACTGAAATATACTAGTAGGTAAAAGACTTTAGCACATCAATTACACAAAATACTTGTTAAATATATTATTTTTACTTAAATTACGCAGCTTGTTATTTTTACATGTAGTATAGTATGCACATTCCCGCAGAAAAAAAAGCAAATACAATGTGAACCTTGCTCAATGTACATCCGAATGCCTTATTATGATAGCATATTTCTTGAAGTCCTTCTACACAAAAACAGCTTTTTCCTTCTACAAGATTATTAAAACACACTTTGTACCTGAAATTACCAGAATAAAACTTTGTTGAATTTTTACAAAACTTTGTGTAGTTATATACAACCTTCTCATATAAAAATCTAGCAATTAGCAATTAGTATCATCATCATCATCTGATGTATCGTACTGCGGAGGGTTGTGTGGATATCTAAAATGTTTTTTTGTTTGTTTGTTACGCTTTCACGCTAAAGCGGCTAAACGGATTTGGATGAAATTCAGCATATGGGTAGACCATGTCTATGGAGAAGAACATAGGCTACTTTCATTAAATTCGTAATTCGTCAAATTGTTTACCAATATATATAAGAATTTTGTGATTTAATCAAGCAAATTCTACTAGAAATGTTTTGTTATTTTAGCATGCTGCATTGTACATTTACTACAATTTAATTCAACATTGTTGCCGTTGAGTTTAAGATCCTTCCCCTTATTAATTTCTTTTCGCTGGGAATAATAACAATCTTTCATGGCATTTATTATTTCGTCATTGATAATTTCTTAAGGTTAAGTAAAAATATCAACCAATTTTAGTCGATTCTCTTCCAACGAAGCTAACACTTTTGATGGTCTAAATAGCTGTGTTAGATAAATCTGTAAAAGCCGCATAGGCTAATAGCACCAACATCTCAGAAAATAGAAGAACTTGTGATAGTGGCTGAAAGGGCCTATAAGCGAAGCAAGCGAAGAATCCATACTCATCCTGTAGCTTCGGCATTTCAACGGATATATCATCGTCATCGAAGCAATTAGTTGATTTATTTACATCTCTAGATTGAGTTTTCATATAACGTGTTGCGAAATAAATTGCTTGTCTGATTGATTTGCAATTTTCGTAGTAAATATCTTCTTATAAATCACAATTTGGCCACTTATGGTATTTGTTTTTCGGAACATTGAAGGAAGAAGATCATGAAGTATAAACTGCAAATGGATGGCTATTTAAATTTAAAGAGGATACAATGAGCAATGGCGCATCTAAAGCATCACATCGTGTAGTTTCTAGCAAATTCAACAAAACATAATTGCCTTTCCTTTGTCTTCGAAAATCTTGTTTTAATAGGCAAACTTAGAAATTTTTAATAGGCATACTTAGAAATATATTTTAAAGCAACAAAAATATACTATATATTTATTCCTATTTATATATTTTATTTTATTATAGGGGGATATCCTATGGGGGACTTTAAGTTTGGGTGCTATGAAAAAGATATAAATAAATCCACAAAGCTCAGTGAAAGAAAGAAGTGTTTATTCAAATAAAAATTAATTTTGTTCGAGATATTGTTTGTAACAATTCCGTCCTGCGACAGTTGAGCAGTATACCCTTGCTCTCTTGCTCTTGCAACCTGGCAAGCGGCACCTGTGGTCACCTTACTCGTTATAAATCATTGGTAAATGATCTGCCGTGGCTGTCCTCAGTTGCAATGGGGGTTGAGGGACATATTTCCTCTTGCGGCTAGTTTGACTAGATTCTGTTGGCATATCAACAACTTCCTCATACAGGTGTATTTGCTCTCTTGTTGGAGTGAAATAGAGCGAAGAATTTGCTATTTCAGCTTTGAATTCCAAATAATTCAGTGTCCTTTTTAGGAGTTTCCAATATTTGGGCTTCTTTTCGGTACACCTACCATTCTGCAGCTGCCGCAAATTCGAATAAATGGAATATCAATCGAACCGTCCATTTTTTGAGCGTGCGCTTAAAACGTAATAATCCTATCCATCATGTCCACTCGCCCCATATTTTCATTATACTGCTGAATAGCATAAGGCCTATTAATCTCGATGTATTACTTCGTCTTCTTACACCAACGTCTGGATTTGTTTTCAGATAACTTTGAATCTGCAAATGATGCCATAACTACTGGTTTATTGTCAAACCACTTAAAACAAGCCATTCAAGGCCATCATTCCTTACTAATTGGTTAGAAGAACCGCGTTCCTGATCTTTTAACTGCTTATTAGTTTTAAAATTGCATGCTTTAGGGATTTTTGACTTCTTGAGAGTGCCCGTTCCTTGCATTTATTTGTCTGTGCATAGTATGTCGAAAGTCGCACCCGTAAACCCACGACGATACCTGGGCTAGAGTTATCGCCAGCTTTACTTGCCGCTAAACTTATAAGTCCGTATTAAAATCGCTTAAATATATAAGCCTAGCAGAAGTGTATACTGGTGTGATTCGAGTGTAGTACTCGCCTGGATCAATAGTGATTTAGGTAAACTTAAAACGTTTGTAGCCCATCGAGTTAGCGAAATCGTTGATAATACGGATCGTTCAGCTTGGCGTTACGTTCCTACTGCGGATAATCCAGCTGACTTAATTTCTAGAGGTGTAGATGTCGGCAACTTATTAACAAAAGATTTATGGTGAACAGAACCAGAACTTTTAAATAAAAATGATGTAGAGTGGGCAATTTTAAAATGTCATCATGAATATTTACCAGAAATTAAATTAAATACAGCAATTTTAACAGAAACAATAATTAAATTTGATGATTTTTCCTCATTTAATAAGCTTCAAAAATGTAATGCCTATATCAATAGGTTTACTTCCTATTTAAGGAGTCCCGAATTTAAATGTGTAGGTAGTTTGACAGTTGATGAACTTGATAATGCTTTTCATGTACTTTAGAAAGTAATCCTTTGAATGCTAAATCCAGAATTTTATCGTCATTTCCATTCACGGATAAAGATAATTTAATTCGAATCGGAGGTAGATTTAATGCCTCTGACTACTATACTAAAAGAAGCATCCTGTTCTTTTGCATTCGGCCCATAGCACACGGCGTATTTAAAACGCGCAGGAGACGCGCGTTTCAGGAACGCGCGTCTTCGGCGCCGTAGACGCTGATTGTTGCGTTTGCATTGATGATACAAGCGCGCGCATGAAGCGCGTATATGCGCGTTTGAAGCGATACAAACGCGCGTACAAAGGAGCGGAGTAGGGGCAGGGGGGGGCGCTCACGCCACCACTGCACCGCCCGCGCCTCAGTTGCAATAATAGTTTATTGTGTGCTGCGCGTGTATTTGGTTTAAAATGGAACCCTTCGACACCGACCGCTTCATAACAGAAATAAACAATCGTCCCACTACATGGAATTTACTACTGCCCGAATATTCAAACAAAGTTTTAAAAAGAAATGCTTGGGATGAATTGTGCCAAATTTTTTATAACAATTTCAATGAAAAACCCAGTAAGGAAAAAAACCTGGCAGGTAAGATTGATTATATTTATTTAAAAATAATGTATTTGTTTTAGGACTACACATAAAACATCGCCGAAAAGATAGCCACCCCATGTCGCGTGCCCACGTTTTATGGTGTTAAATCGTCAGTTGTGATAAGTTCTGGCGTAATTTTAGTTTGTTCCGCTTTCCTTCTTACGATTTTTTTACTTATTGGAACTAACGATTTAGCACCCTAAAACGTGGGCACGCGACATGGGGTGGCTATCTTCACGGCGCACGTTGGGCCGAATCTGAAAAAAAGGAACTTATGAATTATTTGAAATTATTTAAAATTTTAATTTAAAAATTTGTCATCATATCTCATTAAATATTCGTTTTTAGAAAAAATTACAATTCATAAATGTTGATTGTATTGACGGCTTCTGTCGATTGGCTGAACAAAAAATTGACGTTTCGAAAAAAAATCGTAAGTTCCTTTTTTCAGATTCGGCCCACCGTGCGGCGGTACATAGAACAGTAAAACAGTAGAACATGTAATTAGGTAGGTACCCTAAATTTTAGAATCTTGCCATGGTACTGCACCTTCATCGCTAATAAAATAATCAGTGTACATATTTCGTATCGTAGTTCCGCTTAATTGTCCCTGTGACCGTCTTGCACCAATCAAAATCAAACTTGCATCTTCAGGAGGATCTCCTAAACCAGCTATACTCAAAGAATTATGAAAATTATAACCGTGACGTTCACGTATGAAATTATGCAGTACACAACAGGCTTTCACAATAGCCACACTGAAGTCCACGCTAACGTTCAGTGGTCGATTAAAGATTTTAAATTTGTTGCTTAATATACCAAATGTACATTCAGTGTATCGTCTGGCACGTGTCAAGCGGTAATTATATATTCTTTTTTCTCGTGGCAAGATTTTTCCAGCGTAAGGTCTCTGTAAATGTTGAGATAATGCAAAGCCTTCATCTCCAACAAACGTAAATGGTATTGGCACTCCATTATTAGATATTGGTCTCGCATTTGGTATATTATAATTTCCTTGCCTTATCTTTTTGGTCCATTCACTACATTCATTTATTGTTGAGTCTGCCGCCTTTCCATAGCATCCAACATCTATATCGATGAATCTGTAATTTGCGTCACATATTGCAAGCAATACGATGGAAAAATATTTTTTATAATTAAAATACTCTGATCCACTATGTTGAGGTTTTATAACTCTAATATGTTTCCCATCGATAGCCCCAAGTAGGTTGGGAAAATTTGCGTATTTCATAAATCCTTCAGCAGTTTTTAGATGTGATTCTTCGGTTGGTTCTGGCATGCAGATGTTTTTTAATTTATCCCATATTATTTTCACTGTTTCACGGACTATAATGCCTGCCGTCGTTTGTCCACACTTAAAGTCATAGTGAATATCTGAGAAATAGCAACCCGTAGCTAAATACCTGAAAAAAATAACATTATTAAAACTTCTATTGTCATCGTAAATTTTACATATTTAATTAAAATTAACCTACAACTACTTATTTCAAATAAATTAAAATTAACCTAATAAATAACTAAACTATTGACATTATTATTGTTTTCAGTCATTGATCTTCAAAAAAAATGGAAGAGTATTAAGGACGCTTATAAAAGAGACAAAGCGAAGAACAATAACTGTTCCAGTGGATCTGGAGCTAAGCCTAGAAGACCCTACATATATTCCAATTTGCTAACTTTTTTAGACCCGCTTTACGAAATAAGATCTCCAAGTCAAAATGATGATGCAGCACTGGGGCATGACAAAGACTGTGACTTTCAAAAGCCACATTCACCAAAGAAGTCTAAAAAGACTCCAAAACATGAAGACCCACAGGACAAATTGTATGAAGCACTGACAGCAAATCTCAAACAGTCTAAAGCGAATAATACAATTTTATCTGAAAATCCCGACATACTGTTCTTAGTTTCATTAGCTAAAGATTTTTCGGCCATCAAAGAGGAATTTAAGTTAGAGGCCAAAGCTGATATGATAAATTTAATTCGTAAATATAAAAATATGGGACAGTCAGCGAGAACATTACATGAAAATAGATACCAAGGTACATTTCAATATGAACATCAGTATGGATACCAGTCTGGATATCAGTCTGAATTTCAGCCTCAATATCCAAGTAATCAATCAGCGCCAAGAAACGAATCTGTCAGTTCACAATCTGTCAGTTCACTCCAAAATTTGGATAGCAATGAATCAGTTACAAATGACTCCGATATCATATCTGACATGTATGATGATATTGAATAAATATTTTTCTCTTATTAATAATCTAAGTGCACTTATAACATTTTACGATTGATTTAAAACTGTAACAGGTCAATAAATAAATAAATACATAATAAATAAATACTAGTTGTTTTCTTACCTCAATGTGATGAGCAAACGTTCTTCTGCCGATATACATGATCTCATTACTGTATTTTGACGAGTTAACTCCGGTTTTAGAATCAAAAGAAGTTCTTGGAATGACGAATATGACGAACATTCGATAACACTTATAAAATTTCTTCCATCTTCTATGTATTACCAATTTTTTAAACGTTGTATGATAATGACCACTCAATCTTTTTTCATTCGTAAATGGGTCTATCCAATAGATTCGCTTTTTTTTTACATTTTTTTCTTTATAAAAGAAGTACTAAAGCCAACGTAAGCAGTGTTGTCTCAACCGACGCCATTGTACAACTGAAGGAGTCACTGATCTGAAAAACGCAAAATCTACGAGCGACTACAACGTCTGTATCGCTGTATCTGCACGTATACGCGCAGTAGAGGCGCGTTTCACGATCGCCCCGTGTGCTTACAGTTACAAGGTTGCGATCGAATCCCGTTTGAATCGCGTATACGCGCGTAATCTGCGCGTCATCTGCGCGTTTTAAATACGCCGTGTGCTATGGGCCTTCATCCATTGACGAAACTCTTATTCCAAAAAGAACATATTCGCAAACTACATGCTGGTCCACAATTATTGCTAGCAACAATTAGAGAAATCGTATGGCCAGTAGCTGGTAGGCACTTAGCTAGGCGAACGGTCAACAATTGTATACGATGCAGACGTCTAAATGCTAATACTCTTTCCTCCTATCCTTCTAAAATGGGGGACCTCCCAGTTCAAAGAATAAGCGCAGGGTTTCCTTTTATGTCTGTTGGTCTGGACTTTGCCGGTTCGTTTTATATTTTAAATGGCAAAGGTCGTGGAAGTCAGCTAATCTAATCTAATCTAATTCACAAATATACCAGTTGAGTATTTTTTTGGAATAAATATTGGGTGTTTATAATCTTGTGATATATTAGGTGATTGTAACCTGCCACTAACACGTAACAAACCTTAAATAAGTCCTTTTTGTAACCTGTGAATCACAAAGAAACTATTTGATTTGATTTATAAACTAACGTATTGAACATTTAGCTTTTATATGATTATATTTATAAGTATAGTTACGGTGTGTATTGCTGTAAAAAAAGAAAATGGAAGCGGGCTTTGACAAAAGACAGATAATCTGCCAAAAGTGGATTTTTTTATGGTTCGCAGTATTTTTCAGAAAATTATGATTTTTTAACATCAGAAATGCGTGGAATAAAGCTTCAAACGTTACTAATAAAAGATTACGAAAAGTATACAGCTTTACCATTAGTTATGAGTAACTAGGCAGTAATACATAGATAGGTATTGACTGACGTGTAACACGAAAATTTTCGTGTACATTATTTTAGCATATTTACGTTATTACATGCGATGAACAGACTTCAGAGCGCCATCTAACGTCATTAGTCCGAAGTAACTAGAAACGTATATTGACGAATCGAGCTAGCTAATTGCACGCAATTGACCTTTCGTGTTAGTTCGAAATCCTACCACGGATCGACGGTGGCGTGTAGCCCAAGGGAGGCCTAGTTCTTTTTGGAGCGAGCCGTTGTAATGATCGGACACGCACATATATAATTTTTGAATCGAAACGCCGGAACATGAATTTAAAGTGACGACTACTTGGGCGTACGGCCCCTTAAACACAATGTCTACGGGCAGTTTAATGTGTTGAAACACATCATCCCATAAATTGTAAGTACTTAATGTTTATGTCTTCTTAAAAGCACATGTGCTCTAATTAACGGTACACGGTGTTTCATAGATTCTTTTGCCTTGTCATAGGGGTCCTTAGTCCTTAGTCCTTAGTCCTTAGTCCGTACTTTGAGTATGGTCCATTATCAAGTTCAACAATGTGAACGAGGCGAGGCAGCTTCAACGGGTGGCTATATTGGGACTGGGCGGCCAGGAGACCGCGACCGGCGTACACCTGGAGGATATCTGTTGCCTCACTGCTTCGCGGGATTGACCATAAACAGTGTAATATTGTGTAATCCACCAGGTTAGTCAAAACCTCAGTTCGTAGGGTATTTTAAAGTGAAAACTGGATATTTGGAGCTATATATGTGAACCGTAGAAGGAAATAAACTACTTTTTGTCTGTATATGTAACTTATCATTTTCATTTACTAATCATCCAACAACAGGCGCCCTGGGATACTTTTATTTTGATCCTCGAGTCCCTTAACTCTCCGACAACCGTAGCCGGTGAGTAACGCCCTAAAAAGTGTTATAACCGAACCACGAAATTACACATGATTTACAACGACATAAAATGATAAAACTTACTTAAACTTACTAATGCATGAGTGAGTATTAATCAACTCGTACTGTTATTTAGTACCTATTGACACGTGAAGAAATTTTGTTGGTTACGTAGTTCGTCAGTGGTTGCAAACGTATGGTCCTAGTTTTACTTTGACTTACTTTTGAATAAACTGATTGCGGTATTACGTTGGTAGTTGGTACCTATTCTGTTTTGAAAATGCAATGGTCGCAAACATTCAATGGGTGTAAAACTAAGCTGATTTTGATAAAATTTTGCATACAGGTATAACATGATCTACAGGATTTTATCTTCTTATATCGAACTTTTATTCCCAAGGAGCGTGATATAACAGAAATTTAAAAAAAAAAAACAGAAAATAAAGGTAACTGATAAATAAATAACAGGACAAGAAAAATATGGCAAGTGGGACTCGAATCCACGATCTCGACAATTTTTATGGCTGTTCGACATGAAAACCCGTTTGGGTTTATACTGTGTCGTCCGGCAGGTTAATTCATATTATTGTTACTTTAACGTATTGCTATTGTATGTAGGTTAACAAAGAGCCAAAGGTTCGCTATCCTTCACTTCACTATCGATTTTAGTCTTGGATTTATTTTAACACATACTGTCACAGCAGTTTGTCCCTGATCCCTGATCAATCGCACTGGTCTTATCAATGCACGAATCACACGCACACAGGCGCACTACGCTGTGTAGTTTGTTTTTATGTTGTTTTTATGTTCATTGCATATCATTCTTGACCTTGCAAATAGTGATACGAACGTATTATGCTTTAAGCTTACACGGTACACGCATCTATTAGCATACCTTTACGTACCTTAACATACAATTACGTGCGCATCTATTAGCAACGCAAAAGGTATATTACGATACTTTACACACACATACCAAATTATGTTACAAGTTATGTATAACTTAAGAGCCCTGACCTTGACTTGAATACGCAGAGTAACAACTTAGATAATTTTGTACCTTATATAAACGAAGTAAAATGGGCAGACACCTCGACCATTTAGCCAAGCGCTCCTATTCCATGAACAGGTAAGTAGGTATATAAAACCCAAGTAGTTATTAATACTAGTGTGTTGTGTGGTGTGGCTCGTAAACATTTTGAAGATAACAATAGGTATATATGTAAACAAACAATAATGAAACTTACATCAAAATGATCTTCACAACAATAAACACTACTGATGGCTTTGAATTGTCGAATTGTGATGTCACATCGCGATGCGGAGCAAAGCGGTCGCCCTTACCGTAAAACACCACTTTACTCACAATATTTCAGTCTACCGAGAATACCGTAATTTCCGAGTTCGTAATGTTTTTTATACAATTTTTGATAAATACCCTTAACAAAATTGGGTGGCCAGACCCATTGTGTTTTATTATTAGTGTGGTTTTAAGTTGTAATTAGTGTTCTGTAATTAAAGTGTCAATTTTGGTAATTCAATCGGCAGTTTTTGATTGTCTCGAACCCCAAGCTCGTAATAATTGGTGTCGATGAGACGATTTGGTGGTGCAACGTCACAGACGTCGGAGGACCAGCTGCCCACCACGGAGGCCGGCCCGTCAGCAGCTCCTGCATCTACAACACCTGACTGAGGTGCTCTGATGATGATGCTGTAGGAGCAGGCCCGCCGACAGGAGGAACAGGCCCGCCGACAGGAGGAATAAGCCCGCCGACAGGAGGAATAGACACGCCGACAGGAGGAACAGGCCGCCGACAGGAAAAACAGTCCCACCAACGAGAGGAAAAGGCCCGTCAGTTGGAAGAGGAGCTGCAGCGTGGTATGGAAAAGCAGATGCTCCCCATGAAGGACCTTCACGCTACCTTCGGGAAAGAGATAAGGGAGGTAAATGATAGGGTTGGTCAACATGACAACCACCTGTCGGAAGCTGAAACCCGAATTAACCAAGTGAATAATTGGGTTGGCAACGTGATGGCTTACGTGAAGAAAATGCTGGACGACCTCAAACTTGGGGATGGAATTACAGCTCCCGTGGTAGCTAAACCACCTTCACTACATGGAGTCAAAGTGCTGCCGTTCGACGGGACTTCTTCCTGGTCGGCCTACAAAATCCACTAACGGCTGGAATAAAAGTTGCCATGAGAAAGCCATGATTGTGGTGCCCGAGCCTCACAGCAGCTCCAACTTTAAGGTCGCGGATGCCTTCGATGAATGTCTGCACTAGGTTCCCTATAGTGAGCGCAGGTACAGACTGGTATGCTTTCCGAACCAGCTTCTTCACCTCAGGGGCCCACTGATACAGGTTGCACGCGCTCTTTGAGCTGCGCACGAAAGACGTGTTCCAGGTGAGCGTCGCCATATCTCGCCTCCAATACCTCAAGGAGTTGCACGTAAGTCACTTCCTTACCGAGAGCTTCCACAAAATGTTCAACAAACAACATACAATAGAAGCATTTTTATACGATAACCCCTTATACGAAGCCTTCTGCATATCTGAAACATCCTTCACGGAAGAAAATTTAAATTTAATACAGTTTAACGGTTACAAAGTTGCAGCCTCATTTTGCAGGAAAACCTGGATTGGAGGAGGTGTCTGCATACTTTTACAAGAGCATATA